GCTGATTTGCTGCTCAAGAAACATTTCTGATTACTATCAATGTAGATCAATGTTGTCAATGTTGCTGCTGCATCAAACATAAAAAAAAAAAAAAATTAATACTTTTATTCAACAAGAACAGACTGAATTGATCAAAATTGACAGTAACGACATTTATATTTACAAAAGATTTCTATTTTAAACAAATGTTGTTCATTGAATTTTCTATTCATTTATTAAGCAGCTGTTTTCAGCATTTAGATTAGAATATAATTGAGCACCAATAATAAACGACCAGCAAATCAGCATATTAGAATGATTTCTGAAGGATCGTGTGACACTGAAGACTGATTGATTTATTTATTTTGATCAAATAAATGCAGCCTTGGTGACAGGGCCGTTTCTAGGCATAGGCGAGCTATGCGGTCACCTAGGGCGCCACCAGCTGAAGGGGCGCCAATGAGCGCACGTACTGGCACTTTTAGCAGGGTTGTGATAAAGAGTGGCACGGTCACCCTGAAATATGACTGCCGCCCGCCCCCACTCGATCCCCCAACATTATTGGGCTAGAGTACTGTCAATCTGACGATGCCTGTATGCCACTAGATCAGAGTGCTGCATTTTTGTTTGCATTTGGAGCGCTCAACAACGCCATTAGATCAGTGGGCTCTGTCAGTGCTTTGGCAAGGTAACACTTTTTTTTGCCATGCAATAAAGCTAAGTTCAAAGGCCAATTTAAAATATTGGTACAGCAAATAAAGTGCACAAAATCTGTATTTTGTTTAGGCAGTATTTGTGGCACATTTGTCCAAATATTTGTAGCAGATTTGTCCAAAAGGTGTGCGTTTTTTGCGCCAATGCATTGTTAAAGGATCAGCGTGTCATGTAATATTCCCATATAAACTTTAACATCCAATTAAAAAATATTTGTATAGTAAAATTAGCTAATTCACGAGATCAATACATCCTTTATTAGACCGCTTTGCCGAGTTAAATGCATCCTTACGGAGGTGTCGAAATGCTCAATCAATTAATTCACTTCCAACAGCGCAGCGTCATAGAGGGCAGAGCGTCACGTTATTTAAAGGGGACGTTAACGAGTAGCAAATGATTAAGTAGCTGCATTGGTTACTTTTATGCCACTGATAAAGCTTTTATATGTAGTTTGGGGTAACAAAGGGGTTTTAATAGGTTTGACTGAAATAATAATGCAATAACTGACACTTTAAATCAATGTTTCAAGAAACAACAACAAAAAAATGTAACAAAAAAACAGATAAAGACAAAAAAGTAGCCATTGATAATATCTAAACAATATGTAGTAGTATAGTATATAGTATCCAAATCAAAATGTAATAAAATTAATTTATGTGTGATTTATGTGTAAATTATGTGCAATGTCTTAGCCACTAGGGATTGTTACATAGGGCTATACAGGCATCTAGTGGCAACACAATGATATTACAGATAATAAATTATCTGTAATATCAATAGGGATATTACATTTAGGCAATAGGGATTTCGCCTATGGCGTCAAATTGGCTAGAAACGGCCCTGCTTGGTGAGCATAATAGACTTTCCTTGAACAACAACAGCAAAATCTGTATTATTCCGACTTCTGACTGGACAAGCGTGTACTTTCGTGTCAGTGATGATAGTGTTTATCTTCATCACTATGTGTAAACGTAATGCTTTGACTGAAGTCTCTAGACATCCTAAGATGCTCAGAAATGGGTTGCGTTTGAAACACAGCAAGTGTGCTGACGACTTTTGACTGCACTAACGATCCCCCAGATCTCTGGCCCATATTAGCGTGAGCGCGTCTGACATGACTACTCCAGTAGGACGTCTCCTATGGCCTGTCAGGTTAGAGGTATTTGACTAATGATGTGGTGCTTGACAGAGCAGTAATTAGGGCTTTGGTGCCCAGCTGGTGCCACTACCACAGATGTTAATGGAGAAGATCTGGGGGTGGGGAGGAGATGCAGAAGGTTCTGGAAGGACGGGGTGGGATGTGACTGTCTCCCCTCTGTCCCGCCCATCTCTGGGGACTGGGACTGTCTAGTCGGTGCTCTCATTTTGTTTTAGCAGATGTATGGCAAAGCACCTGCCCTTTAAATTAGTGAAGGAAAGGGCCAATTCTTCTGATGTGGGCAACCACAGGAGATGAGAATGTGACAGACAGAGATCCATATACTGTTAATTATCAATCAAACCAGCCTCTTATAAAAGATACAGTTATGTTTTCAAAAAAAAAAAGGACAACGCTTTATGACGTCCCTCGAGGACTCTCGGGTTTTAAAACCATTAATATTTCTATCATCCAACATTCTATCATATTCTGTTCTTTACTCATAAAAAATAAAAGTTCCAAAAGTGGGTTTTCTCAGTGATCCTGTTTTTGGATCCCCAAAGAACCTTTCAGTGAACCGTTCTAAAAAGAACCATATTTTCTAAGTGTGAAGACGATTTTAATATTCTAAAAAACTTATTCGAAAAATTCCATGGATGTTAAAGGTTCTTCATGGAAGCATTAATGCCACTAAAGACTGTTTGCTGAATGCTTAGAATTTACTTCCACACCAGAACTAATAAATGTGCGCAAATAAAAGTGCACATGCACTTTTTGTTTGTGCAGTGTCGCTAGGGCGGCACCATCATGCATTATTTACTAGTAGTGATGGATGATGGCCTATTTTGAGGGCAGATGGAACACACCCAACCCTCCAGTCATAGTTATTGTGCGGTTTGACAAAACGCTGAGATTTACTACAATCCAATGGAGACATTAGATGTCCATTAATGGCAGGAGACACCTCATAACTGAACCTGAATTATGCAGTTTATATCTGAGATTTGTGGCGATAATTTATTTATTTTTTCCTTTAAAAGAAATGGTAATAAGGTAAAACGGACACAAAAAATACATAAAAAAATAAAATAAAATACAATACAATGAAATAAAATAATACATTTAACTAAATAAAATGAAATAAAATAAAATTACATTTTTTCCACTAGCAGAACAAGTTCACAAAAACAGCGAAACCTTTATCGGATGTTTTCTGAGATGAAATGATGAAATGAATCCAGCTGCGTCTGATAACACTTTCCCCCTGAAATTTGTGTCTTTTTATTTTATTTAGGGGTTAGGAAGCTGATAAAAAGCTGTTTGTTTTTCAGTCAGCTATACCTATTCTGGAAACAAAGTAGCATCTTAAACGAAACAGTTACAAAACGAATCCGGTTGATCCCGTTTCTAAGTCTCCTTGGTTACGATGCTGCTACAGCCTTAGCGCAGGGACCGAAGCACAGTGATCTCGCGTCTGATTGGCTCATTCCTACCTCTGCTCGTCTCCCATTGGCCGACTTTCCAAATACGCTTGGCTCATTGCATAGCTAGCCCCCCCCCCCTCCCCTTTTACTAGAATCTAAACACCGTTTTAAAAAAGCTTGGATAATTTTGTACATGGGTTTGCTTGTTGTGTGAAATCTGAGGGAACGCGGTTTCTGGATATCTTGTAGTGGATTATTTCTACTCGTTGATGAATTAAAGGGAAAGGTAAGAGCGCAATCTTGCTGCTGGATTATGTATTGTGTGATGCTCGCGAGGACGGGAGTCTGTTGACAATTTTTTTTTTTTTTCACATTCGGCGCCATTTTCAGGCATTTCATTCACTTGCACCTGCTCATCCATTATGACCCTCAATATCAATGCTTTTTGATGGACAGCTGTCAAAAAACTACAAAAGCCTTAAAGTTATAGCCGTTTAACGAGCGCTCTGATTTATTGTATTGTGTCGGTGCTCTGTTGGCGGGCTGTTCGCATCTCGCATAGATTTGATAGTTAATAACACTCAGTACAGGCAAATGTTTTCATTTTTAAGCGCTTTGATTTTAAATATCAAATTTAGTCGCGAAATGTATCAGTTCTGTGCAGTTTTATGTCCTCTGGGTCGTGTCGTGGGAAATTGTCCCGTGAGGCTGTGAGAATAAAGCGCATGTTTACTTCAGACAGGTGTATTTACTGTAAACAATGTTATATTGCTATTTCAGTGTTTATTACTAACGCTTGTTGTGCATAATACGGTTGTAATTCGGTTTGATAGGGGTAGATAGCTAATTAGATGATCTAACATCAAATTAAAAGGCGCTTAAGTTAGCTTTGTTCTTTATCTTTCTTTCTTTTTTTCATTGTTCGCTGTAACATGTTTTGTCAGGCGAAACGTGCTTCAAATGGTGGTCTCCAAATCAACTTGTTTTATTGAGTATTATTTAATACTACAGAATAAATGTGGCTGCACCAACAAAATGTATGTTTAAATGTCAGATGTCCTTTTGCGTCATCAGTCTCCCACAGTTTTGAAGTCAACAAATCACATGCAGTGAGTCCTGGAGACTTTGCATTGCATTTCAAACCCAGAGGCCATGTTGCTATAATAGCTACCTTCGGTTTATTGTTTCTGTGCTTTGGCCTCAGTCTGCGCCTCATTCAGAAATGTTATGCAATCAATCCCGATTTATAAATTAAAGTGATGCAAGTCTTTCCCATGTATTTGTAGAAGAAATGACAGAGATGTGTAATAAAAAGTGCTTTTTCCTTTTGATTGAACAGTGTTGTCTCTGATGTGATTTTCTGAATGTGCATGTTGTTTGCATGCTCTTTGCTATCGTTCTGTTGTGCAGCAAAAGCACTCATGAGTATGTCTGTTTATAGCGCAAGTGTACGTGAAGTCAGCACTAGAGGTCGACCGATGTATCGGTTTTGCCGATTAATCGGCACCGATAGTTTTTTGCTGGAACTATCGGTTATCGGCAAAAATCCATGCCGATAGTTTTCCGGGTTGCGTCTGTTGCTGGAGCGGCTGAGAAGGGTCTGCTGTCATTACACAGTGCGAGAGCGGCCTCTAGTGGTTGAAATCACTGACAGCACGTGCTATTTGTTCAGACACGTAATACTGCACGCTGAACAGAGCGGGAAACTTCAGACGCGGATTTAAATGCAGCCGACATAAAATCCTGCCGCGCCATTCACATAGTTTTCTATTCAATTACATTATATTTGTCCCGAATTGTTGTTAATGCTTCATTTATAGAGCTATAATATAGATCGCGCTTTCTCTTTCCGTTTGCTCCGTTTTTAAACACCGAACTTCAAACTCATCTATGCCTCATTGTTCGTT